GAGTCCTTATGCATAGAGACTGAAAATTCCAGTTCTGAATCACCACTTCGTCCACGGAGGTAGCAAGGGCATAGGAGTAGACTATGGGATTGGGTCAAGAATCAGGTTCAGATCCATCTCTCCACTAGGCAGGTGATGCAGGATGAATAGCGTGACCCTGGGGCCTCGCTTTCCCAGTGAATGGAAGCTGCACATAGCACCTCTGACATCCCTCTTGTCTAAAACCTAAATGTTTCAGTTTTAAATTCAATAGCCGCAGTTCACAAGGAACTTTCAGTGAAATGATGTAATTTATTCCTTATAGTGACCCAGTGGAGCTGTGGTGACCTAGTGGTAAGAAGTTGTGCTGCAATCCCAAAAGTATACAGTGCATGCGTTTCAAATCCACCAGCTGCCTCTCGGGAGAAGAATGGGCAATCTCCTCCCATTCGATTAAGTGCTTCTGAAAACCTGCCGAGTGTCAGCTGTGGGTTGGTTCTGACAATAATAACTCAGCAAAGGAACATAAGCAAAAATTGGAAGGAAAAACTTTTGTCATTAGGTTCCCTTGGGTAGGTTCCAGCTTCTGGAGGCCATGGGTACAGCAGGGAGGAAACGTGCCTGTTCCTGCCATCCTCTGGTTGGGGGGCATGGTGAAGATCACAGGGGGAAAATGCAGCTTCTCTAGAAGCTAATGGAACTCTGGTGGCCTAGTGGCTCAGGAGCTGCACTGCCAATCCAAAGGCAGGTGGTTCAAATCCACCAGCTGCTTCGCAAGAGAAAGAGGGGCAGTCTCCTCCTTTGCCATTTCCAGTCTCTGAAAAGCCCCTGGAGGGTCAGCCAAGAGTCAGTCCTGTCGCTGCAGCCAGGCCTCAGTCCAGCTCGTTTAAGAGCAGGCATAAGAGGACAATGATTCTTTATATTTTATTAAAATTGGGAGGGTAAAAAAATTCGTAACAAAAGTATGTGCCATTTCCACGTTTGATTGTTTTTTAAGTACAACTCAGTGATGTTAATTATATCCATCACGTTGTCCAGCTGTCACTAGAAAGAGAAATGATTTTGCAGAAATGTGTTGTTCCTCCCTGCTCAGCGATTTGTCCTGGGTGACAGTGCTCTGTCCCTTGGAATCCGGAGCCCCTATCACTTATGTTTTCACTTCTAGCCTGTGGACAAACTCCGGGATAAGGCACCTGAAGGAGGATGAGGGTTTACTCTCAGAGTACAAAGGCTCTGGGACTGGACAGGTGGACTCCTGGGGGCTCTTGGCACAAGATCAGTATTCAGGAGAAGCTTCCTTCCTTTCCGTTGCTTTCCCATTACCTCTCTGTGGGCCAAACACTGTAATTATTCCCAGGGAAATTGAGTTACAGATGAGTCATGACACGAAGCGCCACAAACACGCCTGGGTTTGCAACCAGGCGAGCCCTGTTATCAGGGCAGGAACTTTGAAATCTGCAGCAAACACATGTTGATCCTCAGCCTTCGAGTGGTTATCGCTCACACGGAGGCCCTGTTTTCATGGCCCACTTTGTACGTGGGTCAACTAATCCTCGCTGTCAGTGGGTCCCTCGTATCTGGACGCACAGAAGGAAATGCGTCCAGGCCTGTCGGGGCAGAATACTGCACTGAGTTTGTGCTGTAAAAGCCATGAGTGCAAGCCCGGGAACACTGTAAAGATGCATGGTTGACCAGGTCTGAAACACAGGATATAAAAGTGATAAAACACAAGACATCAGGCTGGCTCTGGAGGACTCCTTTGAAGTGTTGGCTAAGTGGATTATCAGAGGGAGGTTGATAGTTATATGCACAAACTCTTGCCCCATGCTGGCTGTTAATTTCGGTAAGTCAGGCTGGCCAGCCACCTTTTGATAGAATCTTCGCGTCCCTTGGGCACAGGCCAGGATCCAGGGAAGCCACCAGCCTGCAGCACTGTGGGAGATCATTTGGGTCCTTAGCATTGTAGCTGTGTTTTCCACCCCCGCTGGGGTGAGCCCAAGAGAGAAAACAGGGCCCCCACTTGTATTAGGAAATAGGGGTGGAGGTGGCATGATAAAGCTGAAATGCTGACCTTCCCTTGAGTGAGGCCATATGGTGGAGTGAAAAAAGTACAGCTTTTGCATTACACAGACCTTGTGTGGAAATCCTGCTGCTGTGTGACCCTGGGCAATTTGCTAAACCTCTCTGAGCCGTGACTGCCACTTGTTAAAATCCAATAATGCCTAATGGAGCAAGTATGTGGAGCCATTTGGCTCAGTAAATGTTGGGTTCTTGTTCTTTCCTTTAGAGAGAACAGAATAGCACGTCTTTGTCCAAAATAAACGCCCCATTATCAGCATCCCAGCTCTCATTCTCCAGCCTCTGTTTTCCCAAAGGAACTGAACGAGGTGGGAAACTGACTCCTGCCAGTGAGCCACCTTAGAACAAAGCGCTGCATGATCAGATGCGGATGGAAAGTGCACGCAGGCTCTTATACACACCAGAGACTTAAGGAAAACAAGAACTAGGTATTCAGACACTGGATTCCCCCCTCCCCTTTCTTTTTTGGACAGTTTACTCCAAGTAATGTCCACAGTCTCCTAATTTCTAAGTATTGCCAAAATAGAAAGACCACAAATGGATGGCTTTAACAAACAGAGGTGGGATAGCCAGCATTTAGGATGCTGGCAGGCTGAGTGCAGGAACAGGCTTTCTCTCTGCTGGTTTTGGGGGAAGGTCCTTGATTCTTTTCACCTTCTGTGCCCTTGGGCTTTGAAGAGCCACATGGCATCTGTCTTTCTCTCTTGCATTTGAACCACCAGGGATGAGTGGTGACCTTTGGGTTCGCAGCACAGTTCTGTGCTCTGCGGAGAAAGCCACGAGAGTGCTGTATTAGTTAACTTCTGTGTTGCTGTCACATGACATCAAATCAGGACTGACTCTTGGCTGACCCTCCAGGGGCTTTTCAGAGACTGGAAATGGCAAAGAAGGAGACTGCCCCTCTTTCTCTTGCGAAGCAGCTGGTGGATTTGAACCACCTGCCTTTGGATTGACAGTGCAGCTCCTGAGCCACTAGACCACCAGAATTCCATTAGCTTCTACAGAAGCTGCATTTTCCCCCTGTGATCTTCGCCATGCCCCCCAACCAGAGGAATTTAGTCACTCTTTCCCATTTCCTCTCCTCTTTTGCTGCCTTTATTGCTCCTCCCTTTCTGACTGTGTCTCAGATTTTGCATGCCTCGTTTAGCTGGATTCTCACTTATGTTTTCTGTAATAAGCCCGGCTGGGAGCCCAGGTCTGGTCCTGATATGTGTCTCTGTGTCACCAAAGCAAGAAACAACAAAACCCAAACTTGTCACTGTGGAGTCACTTCTGACTCACGATGACTTCTCGTAACAGAGTTGTTGTTCTTGTTAGGTGCGCTTGAGTTGAGTCAGACTCAGAGTGACCCTCCAAACAACAGATCTGAACCCTGCCCTATCCTGTGTCGTCTTCCTTATCCCTGACACACTAGAGCCCATTGCTGCAGTCACTGTGTCAGTCCGCCTCACTGAGGGGATCCTTCTCTTCTACTGACTCGCAGCATGATGTCACTCTCCAAGCAGTAGTCAATCTCCTTGCAAAGAGACTGACTGGAAGAATTATTCCCATTACCAAGAAGGGCGACCCAACAGAATGTGGAAATTATTGAACAATATCATTAATATCACGTGCAAGCAAAAGACTTCTGAAGATCCTTTTAAAATGGCTAGATTTAAGCAATTCTAAATATCCAACACAGGTCATTTAGTCAAATAAATCATTCTCTCTCCCAACCTGCATTAGATTTCATGGAAAAATTATCTACACACAGAATTGAGTTAAAACAAAACATGTTATAAGATAATAAACACAGTGTTTTTAATTGTATTCTAAAATATTTTGTTAACTATTTGTATATACCCCAATACATACATATACAATCTCCTAACATAGAAATCTACACATCAACATAAAATCTGAAGTGGTTTTTTTTTTTTTTTTCCAAATGGCTTCAACAGTATATTGTCAGAGAAGTGCCAGACGTTAAGGCTGGGTTTAGAAGAAGGCATGGGCTCAGGGATATCATTGCTGACGTCAGATGGATCCTAGCTGAAAGCAGAGAATACCAGGAGAATGTCTAATTATGTCTTATTGACTACCACTGAGAAGAACGGGAGTCCCAAGACACTCAAAGACGCTCATGTGACAGAGTAAAACAGCACAGACGGTTTTCTTGGCTCTGAGTTTCATGGAAACAGATTGCCAGGCAATTTTGCATGATGCCACAGTGGGTGGGTGGGTGGGGTTTGAACCAGCAATCTTGAGGCTAGTAGTTTAGCACAAACTGTTTGTACATCTTCTAGGGGTGGTGGGAAGGTCAGTGAAAAAACGCCCACTCTGAATGTCCCTTCAGCAGGAAGAGAATTTATTTCAAGTACCTTGTTCTACGGATGCAGAGGATGTGACCTCATTGTGTAGCAAATCACATTGCAAGTGACAGCCCTTTCAGAGTTAAAACAGCTTTGGTTGGAAAGTTGAGAAAATACGTATGTTTATTTCTTTGTGTTTCTCATGCTGGTTTTGAGCATTCTAAATGGACCTGTTTGCTTGGCCATGCTCCAAAGCTATAAACATGTGCTTTTCAGAATTTGAAAGCGGCCTGTAATCGCAAACGGTTTTCAGCGTCACATGATTTTGGGGCTCCACCCGATGATCTGGTTCTTTCTTACACATCTTAATGATTTTTACTGTCATTTGTTTTTAATGTGGTAAATACATAAATAACAAAGCTGTTGACACTTCCCCAGTCTCCATATGCATGCTTTATTGGCGTTAATTACGCTTCTCATGTTCCTGAGCATCTCACTTTAATGTGTGTTTAAGCTACACACATTAAACAGAGACATTTTGGAATGAAAAAGATCCTCTAAATACTTCCTATGGTGCAAAGCACAAAGAGACCTAACTCATAGGTGGTTTTATAGGCTAATACTGTTTTCTGTTTGGCTTTTCAGTTTGCTGGAACGATGGGGACTTCCCAGCGGGCCTTCCTCGTCCTAGGCTATCTCTTCACAGGTAGGAGTCTCAGCCCTCTCTGAGTTCATTGTTCTGGGGAAGCCCTTGCTTTCTAAGATCTGAGCACCTCAGTGGCTTATGTTGTTAGGTGCCACCGAGTCAAGTGTGACTCGACAGTAGCGACCCTATGAGCCAAAGATCTGAACCCTGTTCTAACAGCGCCATCCTCACACTTCCTGACACACAAGAGCCCAATCAGCAGTCACTGTGTCAGTCCACCGAGCTGAGGGTCTTCCTCTCCTTCACCGACCCTCCACCCTTCCCAGCATCATGTCCTTCTCCACTCCTTGCAACATGCCCAATGTATGTGAGGTGAAGCCTCATCATCCTGGCCTCCAAAGAGAAATCCGGCTGTACCCTCTCCGAGACTTATCTGTTCATTCTCTTGGCTGTCCATGGGATGTTCATTGCCCTTCTCCAACACCACAGCTCTGTGTAGACAGAAAAAAAAAAGCAAAGAGAACCAGAAAGTTACAGTTGACTAGCTTGATCACAAACTTTTCAAGGGACTTTCAATGCTTTGCACTCATGCTTTTGGAAGAGCGCCCTCCTGTGGCAGTTTTTATGTATGTATATTGACGAGGAAATATTCCACAAGTAATTAAATAACTCTTTGCTGTGAGTGGTAACCAACTCATAGCTGACCCTTTAGTGGATTTGCAGAAATAGTAAATTGCATGGGAGGAGATTGTCCAACTTTCTCCCAAGGAACAGCTGGTAAATTTGAACTTACCTGCCTCTGGGTTGGCAGCGCAACTCCTTAACCTCTAGGTCACCAGAACTCCCTAGTGTTAGTATGGTCCGGATTCTCCCACAACTCTCTTCTTTTTCCTGGGATACAGGTTTGCAGAAGTGGATCAGATGAATTCTGAAACGGTCAAGGGAAAAAAATAATAGGAAACCATACTAGTGTTAAGTGGAAGATGCTTAAATTGCTTGCAAATCTCAGAGTCACGCTTTTCCTTGGAATCTAATTGACAGACAGATGTTTGACTTATTAACCCTTTCCCACCAGCAGGGTGCCATCAGAGTTCAATAGTTACTGGAATGTCACAGATTTCACCCAGGTACTAGTTCATTACAGATATTCAACATGAAAGCAGTACTTTTCCAACCTGAGAAATTAGGGTAGCCCTTAGTTACACATTAGTTAATGTCTTCAGATCTTATCTGCCTAGGTATGGTGGGTTTGAACCAGATCAAGAACTTACTGCTCTAAACTCCACTAAGGGAGCTCTTGTGCCCTACTGGGTAAGGAATTGTGCTGTCAATCCAGAGCCAGGCAGTTCGAATCCACTATCTACCTGATAGGAGAAAGATGGAGTTTCCTGTGGAAACATTTTACTGCCTCTTGGCGTGGGGATGGAGGGATCAGCTAAGAGTTTGTTCTGACTTGAAGGCAGTGAGCTATCCACTGATTGTATAAACCCCATCTACATCAATAAGAGCTTCTGTCCTAACATGCTGCAGGGATAGCAGTAGTCAGTGGTCGGAGCTGGACATGATTCCCACAACAGGCTGCAGGGAATAATCGAGACCATTACTCAACAATTAAATAAGCCGTCATGTCACGTTTACAAGAGAGGAGAATGAGACTGAAATTTCAAGTTCTACAGTTAACTTGGAGTTTTCATCCTAAATGGAATTGCTTTTCAAAAAGACTTACTGTTTTTTAAAAATATGCAAACCCACAGGACCCCCACTGTGGTGTTGGGGGGGAGGGGCTCATTAAAGAGATCAGGCTCGCCAGAGAGTGTGGCCAGAAATGGGAGAGGTGTTGTTTGAAGCACAAATTGGCCTTGTTTGTGCTTTGTCCCTGCAGCCTGCTCCTCTGGGCGCCCCTCCTGTTAGTCACTGAGAGAAAACTCTGCAGGGAACGCGGCAGTAAAGCTGCCATATGTGCTGAAGCCTGGGTCTTCCTGCGATATTTTATGGTTACACATAAGAGTCTGAAATATGGAATTGGAGTCAGACATCCTCGACTCGTTTGAGTGCCTGGAGGAGTGATGATGGGGTGCCTATGAGGGGGCCTTTTGTGGCTTCTGGAGCCTTTGCTGAGCTCGCTCAGCAGATGCAGTGGCTCTTATAATGGGGGGCCTTTCATAGGCACCCAGGCTAACGGATTTTTGCATAGATCCTGTCATTGTTCCGAGGAGCGGCTTCTATTGCTCCTCTCATTTCTCTGGATGAGACCTTCCCTTGTGGCCACATCCTATTCAGAGCGTGTTTCCTTTTCCAGGGCCCGGCCTGATACTCTGCCAGCTCTCCTTGCCCACCATCCTCCCGAATGAAAATGAGAAGGTTGTGCAGCTGAATTCATCCTTTTCTCTGACCTGTTCTGGGGAGAGCGAAGTGAGCTGGCAGTACCCTGAGTCTGAAGATGACAACGTCGAAATCCGAACTGAGGAGAACAACAGTGGCCTTTTGGTGAAAGTCCTGGAAGTGACTGGGGCCTCAGCAGCCCAGACGGGATGGTACATTTGCTATTACAACCACACTCAGAAGGAAGACAGCGACATTGAAGGCAGGCGCATTTATATCTACGTGCCAGGTGAGTGGGTAGGGCCCTCCGGCCAGGTGTATATGTCTGTGACTTCCACCTCTCATATGCTAATCCCACTAAATATTTAAGGTGAAAACTCAAAGTTTTATAGTCAAGGCTTGTTGCTATTGGGTCAGAACCCTCTGGTGGGTTTTCTGAGGCTATAAATTGCCCAGGAGGAGAATGCCTATCTTTCTTCTGAGCAGCAGCTGGTAGGTTTGAGCCCTGAGGTGGATGTAAACTTAATGCCAACCAGGCTCCGAGAGCTCCCTTAAGGTTTATAGTAGATTTGGAAGATACAAGAGACAAATGGGAAAGATCTGATGTAAAAAACAATGTATTCAGTTCAAACTTTGTAAATAAGTCAGTATAATAAAAAACATATTTTGAAAAAGAAGGTATACAAAATGAAATACTATTTGTAATCTTTTTATCAAGAGATGTTTGTTGTCAACTCTTCGAGCTGTCTTACTTTTTGGAATTCATTTTTATGATCTCATGTCCCTTGGCAGGGATATTGGGGAGGGTGTGGAAATCTGAAACAGATTCATTTGTATTCAGTTTGGTTATGTTTGGCAAGTGAGGACTGTGCGTTTTCTGTGGGTCAAGCACTTAAACACTGTGTTAAGTGCTATAGTCATTGTTGCTAGGTGCTGTCGAGCTGACCACAGCTCACCGTGACCCTCTGAACACCAGATCTGAACCTTGCCTTATCTGGCACCATCCACACAATCTCCACCATGCTCCAGTGCACTGTGGTCGTCGCTCTGCCGGTTCATCTTGTGGAGGGTCTTCCTCTCTTTTGCTCATCCTCTACCTTCCCCAGAATATTAAGTAGGCACATGTTAGTTAGGTAGGCCTCATTGTGGAATTGCAGTTCATTATAGTTGTTTGATAAAACCATGGTAACTATATGCTGGATTCATTATAAATATATATTTACTCTTGATGAGTTTGCAGGCTTTTTCCCCTTTTTAAAATTGGTTTTCAGACAGTAATTACTTCCTGCTTCATTTTATAACAATAATTACCATTGTAGAGAGCTCTGGAGGTCTAGTGGCATGAAACGGCTGCAATCGCGAAGGCAAGCAGTTTGAGGCCACCAGTTCCTTTACAGGAGAAGGATGGGCAGTCTCCTCCCTTGTGACTAACTGTCAGAACCAACCCATAGCTGACCCTCCAGTGGTACACAACAACTATACGATTTACTGCCTCTGAAAACTCGCTTGACTCGCTAGAACATAGCAACAGCAACAGCAACAGAGAGTTGATGCAACTTAGGTTGATACTATGTGTGCCAGAGTAGAACTGTGTTTTGCAGAGTGTTCCTGGTTTTCCAGGAATGAAACATCAGGGTTTTTTCCTAAGGCACCAAATCTGGACTTGAACTTCCATCCCTTGGGCTAGCAGGCAAGTGTTTATATTATGCATGAACTTAGAGATGAAGCATGCATGCAGGAGATTTATTAGAGGAAAAGACCTATGAGAGAAAATGAGAAGGCCTGCATTGCAAGTGTGTTGCTGAGTGAAGCAGAGAGGGATGAAGGGTGGGGTGGAAGCACTTGCTGCTGTTCAGGGTAAGTAAGACCAGGCAAATCCAGAACCCAGAGAGGATGACTGTTGTCATCCACAAGGTCTTCTAGGAAGGGCCTTCCTTAGAGCCCTCTCCACTCAGTCATTATCAGGAAGCAGCCCTGAGTGGGGTGGGTGGTGAGGAGACATGGCATTGGTGGAACATCTGTGATGAACTTCAGAAGCAATACCTTTGGACAGTTACACTGCAGTGATTAGAGGAAGGTTTCCGTTCATTTGTTATTTTTAAACATTGGTGTTGCTGTGATTCTGAAAACTACACTGTCAGTATTTCAACTATCAACAGGGTCACTGTGGTTGGCAGGCTTCGAAGGAGCTTCCATACTGAGAGAGGCTAGGAAATTGGGCTTGACCACCAGCTTCTGAAATAATACGCCCTTGAAAACCCTGTGACTAGTAGTAGAACATTTTCTGATATGATACTAGAAGGTGAGTCCCTTGGGTGAGAGGAAGGCATTCTCTAGGACTGGGAAAGAGCTATCTTGAACAAAGTAGAATCTACCTTAATGGCATTGATGGAGTAAAGCTTTCAGCCAATGAAGACGCTTTATTTGTGAACATTGTACGGCTCAGAATGAGGAGAAACAACCCCTGGCATCCATTAATAATAAGAACATAGGAAGCATGAATCTAGGAAAATTGGAAATTTTAAAGATATGAAACACATAAAGATCGATAACCTGGGCATCAGAGAGCTGAAAAGAATCAGGATTGGCTATTTTGCATCAAGACAGATCTATCATCTACTATGTGGGGAATGGTACATTGAAGAGGTATCGTGAGGTACTCAGGAAATGCCAGGAGATGTGATAAAGATAAGGTTTACACCTAATCAGACCAGTGCTGATTGTGATGGTTTTTTCTGGCTCTGCGTGCAACCCAAAACGTCAAGCCCACTGCCATGCAGTCATTTCCAGCTTAGACTAGCACAGTCCAAGAGGGCTTCTAAAGCTGTAAACCTTTATGTGCTCAGGCTGCCTCGTTTTTCTCTCCTGAAGTTTTTAGAGGCTTCTCATGTCTGACTTCTTGTTAGTCATTGATTGGTTTGACTGTGGTGCCACTAGGGTTCTTGGATGTATGTGTCAAGGTAAAATAAATGTCTAATAAATTATGTTTTGTTGTTTGTTTTTTAAACATTCACAGACCCTGATGTACCCTTTGTTCCTCTGGGAATGACAGATAGCTTAGTCATCGCAGAAGAGGATGATTCTGCCATCATTCCCTGCCGCACAACCGACCCCAACACGCCTGTCACCTTGCGCAGTGGCAGCATGGTGGTTCCGGCCACCTATGACAGCAAATATGGCTTTAATGTCTCTTACACCTTGGGGCCCTATGTCTGTGAAGCTACCATCATGGGGAAGACATTTCAGACCATTCCTGTTAATGTGTATGCTTTAAAAGGTACTCTCATCTCCTCTCCTTTTCTTAAACAAGATCAGCAGGCCAAAAAATAATACAAAAAATCAGATGTGCGTACTATTGCAAAGATCACAGTCACTTGTGGTGGAAAATTTGAATTCCGATTTGGGAACTTAGGACCCTCCCTTCACCAGACAATGTTAGGCTGACCTTTGGGGCTATAATAATATGGTGCTTAAAATGATTAAAGGCATAAAAACTTCCCTACTTCTGTATGACTTCATGTTTCATCAGTTGACTTACAGTTGACACTGTAAGGAATTATTTTCTTCCATAAGCATCTTCTCACATTCACATTATGTTTAGTGTCACTGAGTTGAGTACAACTCATAGTGATCCTATGAATAACCGATCTGAACCCTGTCCTATCCTGTGCCGTCCTCACCATCTCTGACCCACTCAAGCCCATTGCTGCAGTCACTGTGTCACCCCACATGGTTGAGGGTCTTCTTTGTCTTTGCAACTCCTCCATGTCTCCAAGCGTGATGTCTCTCTTCAAAGAATAACCTCTCCTAGCAACATACCCAAAATATGTGAGATGAAGCTTTATCATCTTTGTCTCCAAGGAGCAGTCTAGATGCACCTTCTCTAAGACATACCTGTTAGTTCTTTTGATAGTCTTCAGCACTCTTCTCTAACACCATAGTTCAAAGGCACCAATTTTTCTTTTGTAATTCTGAGTCATTGTCCAGCTCACAGATACATAGCAAGTGACTGAGAAGACCATGGCCTGAATTAGATGCACCTTAGACCTCAAACTGACATCATAGAGACCAAAGATTCCTAACCATTTTGTTGTTGTTGTTAGGTGCCATTGAGTCAAGTATGACTCATAATGACCCTATGAACAAAAAATCTGAACCCTATTCTATCCTGTGCCATCCTCACACTCCCTGACACACAAGAGCCCATTGCAGCAGTCACAGTGTCAATCCACCTGGTTGAGGATCTTCCTCTCCTTCTCCGACTCTCCACCCTTCCTGACCATGTTATTGTTGATTGTTGTCAAGTCAAGTACAACTCATAGTGACCTTATGAACTAAGACTAGAAGCCTTTCTATAACTACTGTAATTTCTCAAAGTTCATGGAGTTACCAGGAGCATGTTGTGTAGGAAGTGGATGCCACTCCTGCTTCCTGACCATGTTGTTGTTGTTGTTGTTACGTGCTGACGTCCTAAATACAGATACACATCCATGGGGGTTGGATGCCTGGATTAATTTTAGTAACTTAAGGCAAGTAGTTTTGCTTCTGAGAGAAGCTTAGAGGTGTCGATGCCATCCTTTTGATGTGCACGGTGAGTGTGAATGACCAAGTATAACGCATGTTCAGGTCAATATCTGTTTATTGACCACTTCCTGCATGCACGTGCAGGCATGCAACAGAAAGACTGTGCTGTTGTTGGTGTTAGTAAGGGCTCATTTTGTCTCAGGCTCTGGGTTAAGTTCTGGGAAAGTAGTGATGGTAACCAGGAAGTAGAATGAGAGAAAAGAGGAGAATAACTGGTAGAGTAGGACAAAAGGACCTTCAAAGAGTTCCACCCAGTAAAGGTTAACTTATTGAATCAGTGCAGACATGCATCATTGGAAGTGATTACAAAGCAAGAAAGCCACACTGGTCCAAGTGTTCAGAGGAGAGTGTTCAGTTGCACGGGACTGATTGTTGCTGCTTTTCGTGTCTCCGCATTATACATAAACACATCACTTGCTGTCAGGTTAACTCCAACTCCCAGGAACCCCACGTGTGGCAGCAGAACTGTCCTCCACAGGGGTTTCAGTGGCTGAGTTTTAGAAGTGGATGTGCAGGCCTTTTTTTCTGCCAGATGCCTCTGAGTGTATTCAGATTGAGCAGTTCACTGGGAGAATCTTTTGCACCACCAGGAACTCTGGTATAGCTCCTTGTTGTGGAGTCATAGCTGTTCTTACAGCAGGTTTTCCGAGGCCGTAAACCTCAAGAGAGGAGATTACCGGTCTTTCTCCATAGCACTGCTGGTGCATTTGAACCACCATGGAGATACCACCTTTGGGTCAGCAGGGCGACTCCCAGTGACACCACCAGAGCTATTTCTGTGTTAACAAGAACGTGCCAGATTGAGTACACCACTCAGAATTAAAGATTTCAAGATAGCAAAACTTTTGTCTTGAACAAAGTGGCTTGCTTATTATTACACACCACACACACACACACACACACACACACACTCTCACACACAGAAAGAGAATTCATTTTCTATTAAAAACAATAAAACTAAAAATCTTATTAGATTCTAAATATGCAGTGGTTATTTAGGTTCGTATGCTTGTTTGTTTGTTTGCTTTAATAGCAACATCAGACCTTGACCTGGAAATGGAAGCTATTAAGACCGTGTATAAGGCGGGGGAGACCATTGTGGTCACGTGTGCAGTCTTTAACAATGAGGTGGTCGACCTGCAGTGGACTTACCCAGGAGAAATGGTAGGTACCTTCGAGGCTCATCCCTGTGTGTAAAGAGGTTCAAAAGGCACATATTCCAGGAGCATCTGTCATTGATGGGGAACATCACTTGACCTTAATGCCTGTCTCTAGAATGGACATAAATCTGTCTTTCTTGGACATAACGCAACCAGGGTGCTTCTTTTTTTTTTTTTTGTTTTTTTTTTATATGCGTGTACCGTCAAATTGGATCTGACTGGTACAGGAGGCGACTGTTCCTCCTTCTTCAGCAGAGCATCTGGTGGATTTGAACTGTGCACTTCTGGGATTACAGTGCAGTTTCCTGCCACTAGGCCACCAGAGCTCGCCCAGGGTGCTTCTTAGAAGCAAAGTTTCCAAAGCTGAAAACTGCTCAGGAGGGAATTGTTCATTTCTTTTCTTTGCGGAGTGGCTGGTGGATTTGAACTGCCAGAGGCACAAGGCCTTTGGGTTAACAGCACAGTTCCCTATGGACTAGGCCACCAGAGCGCCCTACAAGATCAGTGGATTGTAAAATGTTCTGATTGCTGAGACACTGCTTACATCTCATGTTCTTAGCTTGGCCACCCTTTGGGTTTTTAGGCATGTGATTGTGCTCATCTCGTCTCTCCTTTTTCTGAATCCTCAGTATCCCGGCTACTGTGAGTTCTCATTCTGCCCCCGACCTGCCTGCTTTTTCTTGTCTTGACCCACCTGCAATGAGCAGTCTTTGCTTTTGTCATTCAGCAGAGATTCAGTGATGCTTCCTAAGCCTATAGCGTTGTGCTAACGACAGGTGCCTGCTCAGAACGAGAGAGAAACTGAGTCTCTCCCTGCGTCTCTTAGCCACTGCAGAGTCCAGAATTTCTCACTCATTATTATTACTTATTGTGCTGAGGGAGTGCTGGTGGCTTGGTGGGTCAGGAGTTGCACTGCCAACCTAAAGGCAGGCACTTTGAATCCACCAGCTGTACCATGGGAAAAAGACTGAGAATCTCTTCCTATGAGTTTACAGCCTGAGCATCTCCTCCTGTGAGATTTGCAGCCTCTAAAAACCTGCTGGAGGGTCAGCTATGAGTCAATTCCAAGTGAAGTATATGGAAGAACAACATTAACAAAACCTTTGTGTTGGTGGTATTTTGTACCTTCCATTCTGAAGCAGCTCACAGCTGACCCAGCAGAGGGTTTCTAGCGGCTCAGTTGCACAGGAAGAGATTGCCCATCTTCCTCCTGAACAACCGTTGGTGGATCGGAACTACCTTTGGGTTTGAAGCACAACTCCTTACCCACTAGGTCATGAGAGCTCAGTCAAAACTATGTGTAGGAAAGAATTAATAAGTAGCCTCTTTGCAAAGTGAAGCTAGATAAAAAGTTCCCCCTTTGCTCTTCACTTGTAACTTTCTTCTTTCTCTATTGCTCTCATAGTTTTCTCTGCTGTTATTAATGTCTCTTCCTTCTTTTACTCATTTGCCTTTTCTCATTCTTTCACTGCCATTCCTCCTTTCTTTCTGAGGCAATAGGCTTGCAGTTGAGCATTTTACATAGTTCTTTATAAAGTGCATGCAATGAAGAGATCGTCACTGTTCAGTATGTGTATATCCTGCTTCAACCAGAATTTGTTTTTGTTGTTCATATTTGATTTCCTTTCATCTTTAAAACATAAACTTTTATTTCCCATTCATTGACGATAGACCTTTTCTTCCAAACCAAAGAACATGATGCCATTTAGCCCAGATGTTAATAGTCAAAATACTGTTTTTAAAACAACTCCCCTGAGTCTTCATTATAAAAGTAAGATAGGTTTATTGTTGAAACCCTGTAAAATATGGGAAAACAGGAAGGCCAAGCTTCTTAAAACACCATGGTTAATATTTTGGAGTGGTTGTTGTTGTTGTTGTTATGTGCCATCGAGTCGTTTCCGACTCATAGCGACCCTATGCACAACAGCTCTAAATCCTGCTCTATCCTGCGCCAACTGCACCGCCTCTGACACACCCATCCCGATTACCCCAGTCACCGAATCAATCCATCTCATAGAGGGTCTTCCCCTCCTGCGCTGTCCCCCCACCCTCCCAAGCATGATGTTCCTCTCCAAGGACCCGTCCCTCCTGGCAACATGTCCAAAGTATGTCAGACGAAGCCCCAGAATCCTTGCCTCCAAGGAGCAGCTTGGTTTAATCCTCTCCAAGATGGATCTGTTTGTTTTCCTGGCAGTCCATGGTACATTCAGTACCCTTCTCCAGCACCACAGCTCAAAAGCATCCACTCTCCTTCTGTCCTCCCTAGTCATTGTCCAACTCTCTGATGCATAACAAGCGATTGCAAAGACCATGACCTGTATCAGGCGCACCTTAGTCTCCAGAGAGACACTGTTGCTCCTGAGTACCTTTGAGAGGTCCCTAACGGCAGACTTTCCCATCGCGATACACTTTTTGATTTCCTGACTGCTGGTACCAAGAGTGTTGACTGTGGAGCCGAGCAAAGTGAAGCTGTGAACACTCTCAATCTCTTCGTCATCCATCCTGACGCTGCCAATTGGTCCAGTGGCGAGAATCTTTGTCTTCTTGACGTTGAGCCTTAGTCCATACTGAAGGCTGCAGTCCTTGACTCTTCGCAGCAAGTGCATGAGGTCCTCCTCAGTTTCAGCAAGCAAGGTTGTGTCATCTGCATAACAGAGATTGTTAATAGATCTTCCACCAATCCTGATGCCACAATTCTCCTCATAGAGCCCAGCCTCTCGGATAATCTGCTCTGCATACATGTTGAAAAGGTATGGAGACAGGATGCATCCCTGACGTACACCCTTCCCTATTTTGAACCATGCAGTGTTACCCTGCTCTGTTCTGATTACTGCCTCTTGGTCCAAGTATAGGTTTCGTATTAGCACAATTAAATGTTCTGGGATTCCCATTCTTCTCAGAGTCAGCCACAGTTTGTTATGATCCACACAGTCAAATGCCTTTGCATAGTCAATGAAACACAGATAGACATTCTTCTGGTATTCCCTGCTTTCAGCCAAGATCCATCTAACATCAGCAACAATATCCCTAGTACCACGACCCCTTCTAAACCCAGCCTGGACTTCCGGCAGTTCTCTGCTGATGTGCTGTTCTAATCGTTTTTGGATGATCTTCAGCAGAATCTTGCTTGCATGTGAAATCAATGACACTGTTCTGTAGTTTCCACACTCAGTTGGGTCACCTTTCTTTGGAATGGGAACAAATATAGATCTCTTCCAGTCAGTTGGCCAAGTGGTTGCTCTCCAGATTTCTTGGCACAGCTTGGTGAGCACATCCAGGGCAACATCTGTTATCTGAAATACTTCAATTGGTATACCATCTATTCCTGGGGCTTTATTTTTTGCTATTTCCTTCAAAGCAGCTTGAACTTCTTCCTTCATCATCATAGGCTCTTGCTCATATGTTATTTCTTTAAATTCCTCTGTATCTGCCAATTCCTTTCTATATAATGACAAGTGCCTTAAATACTCTTGGACATAATTTATCTCTCCGGATTTTACAGTAGAGAATTATGAGGCTCACAACTGTACATATGTTTATTAGCTAGTAGGTATTGTTACTTGTTTTTGTTCCTCAGTGGTATAGAACAGGCTCCTTCCTATGTCATTACAGAGTCTTCTAAAACAATTTTAGTCATGCAACAAAAGAGTAGCCTTTTGGTTGTTGCTTCCCATCGAGCAGGAACTGAACCACAGATGACCCACCAGCAGGTTTCAGAGGCAGTGAATTGCATGGGATGAGACTGCCCTTCCTTTTACTGTGGAGCATCTGGTGGATTTGAACCATGCGCCTTAGTAGCTAGCTTCCTAAATGTTGGTTTTCCTCCTCTTCTGCTGCAGAAAGGCAAAGGCATCACAATGCTCGAAGAAATCAAAGTTCCATTCATCAAACTAGTGTACACCTTGACAGTCCCTGAGGCCACAGTGAAAGACAGTGGAGATTACAAATGTGCCGCCCGTCACGCCACCAGGGAGGTCAAGGAGATGAAGAAAGTCACCATTTCTGTCCATGGTACGCTCTGCCTTCTACACTCCCAGTTACCTTGGTTGAGGTCCACTCCTAACTCAGCATTATTTAATGGAAACTTCTCCCTGTGCAGAGAAAGGGTTCATTGAAATCGAACCCAACTTCAGCCAGTTGGAAGCTGTCAACCTGCATGAAGTCAAGCATTTTGTGGTGAACATCCAGGCCTACCCGCCACCTAGGATTTTCTGGCTGAAGGACAACCTGACGCTGATTGAAAACTTGACCGAGATCACCACTGATGTGGAGAGGATTCAGGAGACAAGGTAAAGAGACACTTTTCCTCATGTTTAAATTCTTCTTATTGTATGATCCTGAATATATAGAGATGTGTGTTTGTCTTAGAACCCAGAATAAAGCTAGTTCAGAAAGTGTAATGATTTGTGTTCAGAAATTTTGAAGTCAGGTTTCTTTAATTATAACATTGCAATTTGGTAAAAGTAGCTGATACTGAGGATAACCTAAAGCAATTGCTGCAGAAGATCAAGTACTTTAGTCTTTAATATGAATTGAAGCTCAATATCAAGAAAAGAAAGATTCTCACCACAGGGCCAATTGGCAGCATTGTGATAGATAATGAAGAGATTGAGATTGTTAACAGCTTTAGTGTGATTGGCTCCACAATCAGTACTTTCAGTACCAGCAGCTAGGAAATCAAGAGATGAATTGCATTGTGAAAGTCAGCTGTCAGGGACCTCTCCAGAGTACTGAAGGGCAACGATGTCAGTCTGGAGACTAAGGCGTGCCTGATTCAGACCTAAATCTTTGCAGTTGCTTGCTATGCATCAGAGAGCTGGACAATGGTGAGGAATGATCGTAGCCTTTGAGCTGTGGTGCTAGAGAAGAATGTTGAATATATCATGGGCTGTCAAGAGAACAAACAGGTTCATTGTAGAGAGGGTAAATCCAGGCTGCTCCTTGGAGGCAAGGATTCTGAGTCTTCATATGACATACTTTGGGCATGTTATAAGGAGGGACCTGTCCTTGGAGAGGGGCATCATGCTTGGAAGGGTGGGGGGATAGAGAAAGAGAGGGAGACCATTTATGAGATGGATTGATACTGTGATTGGGGTAATGAGGGTAGGTGTGTCAGAGACATTAAAATTGGCACAGGATAGAGCAGGTTTCAAGTCTGTTGTACATAGGATCACTTTGAGTCACAAGCAACTCGATGGCACATAGCATCAACATCGACAACAACAAGTCAAACTAAAAAACTCAGAACTGACTTGCAGCTCATCCCTGAATGCGTTTCCTAGGTTATAAATCACACCGGTGAGGACTGCCTATAGTTCTCCCTTGGCGCTGATGATGGTAGATTCTGGCCACCAGAGGCATCTGGCCTTTGAATTAGCAGAGCAACTCTCTGTGGATTACGCCTCCAGAGCTCCCTAATCATAACAAACAAAAACGCTTAAAAACCTCAGTGCTGTAGAATTGACACAAACCTGTAGCTGAGCCCCTAGCAGGCTTTCAGAGGCTCTATTGCAAATTACGTAAGAGGTGATTGCCCATCTTTCTGCCTCAGAGCAACTGTTGGGTTTGGACCACCTGTTTTGGGTTGGCAGCACAACTCCTTACTATAGAGCTCTTGAACGGTGGTTGTTGAGTACCACTGAGCTGGAACTGACCCATAGCTGACTCTCTGGTGGCTTTCCAGAGGCAGTTAATCGCATGGGAGGAGAGTGCCCATCCTTCTCCCGTGGAGCAGCTGCTGGTCTCAAACTACATGCTTTCGAGGATGGTAGTGCAGCTTCTTGCCACTAGTATTGTTGTTGTGTATCATTGAGTCAGAACCAACTCCTAGCTGAACCTCCAGCAGGTTTTCAGAGGCAGTAATCACACAGGAGGACATTGTCCATCCTTTCCCCGCTGTGGCCACTAGGGCACCCAAAAACTTAAACTCACTGCCATCAAATCGGAACTGACTTGTAGCTGGCCATCCATTGGGTGTTCAGGGCTGTAAATAATACAAGTGGAAATTGCTCATGTTTTCTCCTGCAAAGCCTCTGGTGGATTTCAGCCACCCAAGAGGCATGACCTTTGAGTTAGCAGCTCAACCCCCTGTGGACTAACATTTAATGATAACCCTATAAGAGACACAGTTGAAAAGCCCTTACCCTTTGTAAAACCCAGTTTATGGATCCAACTAGGAATGGAAAAAAGAGGGCAAGATTGAATGTACTCGTACTGAATCTGTCTTCTTTGATGTCCATTATCCGTGTTGAGAGTAGGACAAGTGTGATGATTCCAGCTGCCGTGGTAAGTTTATCATATACACTGCCATGAAATGAGGCATCGTTCAATCTGATGCTCACTTGCCCAGCGGTCAAGGCCTGTGTTGTGAGACTAGAGCTTGGTTAAGCTTGTTTAGGTGAGAGGCATGTGATCGTTGGGCTAGATCTCATTCCTCTTTCTCTGTGCCCATAAACTGCTCTCTACATCTTAACTGCTGGTGGAGATTTGAGTCACCACTGACTCTGTAAGGTAGGATCAACAATGCTTTATGTCCTGAAGGCTGGGAATTAGGTCAGATGCGATTGCAGAGGGTCTTGCAGATTTAAGCCATGATTAGAATCCAAGAGTCAGAAAGTACATAATGGAGGGCCCAGCCATCCTGAAAAATCACTCCAAAAATATGAAAGCCAGAAAAGGGAAGAACAGAAGAGCTCACTTGACCTCAGGATTTACTTTCTTTTTTTTTTCTGTACTAAATTCCATGAGCACTTATGCAGCAACAGATGAGAAAATGAATTGTACGGTTTGAATAGAATAGTGATTAAAAAGGAGATGGAGTACTGAATCTGGAATGCCATCTGATGACCTGAAATAAATATGTGCAAAGATGTGGGCAGGACTGAACTTTCTAGTAGACTGTTAAGAAGAAGAGAGTAGGGTATTTCCAGCACAGCTAACATTTCAAACCCTGTCGTTACTATGGCCTACAAGTCATAAAACAGTGTTAATGAGAGGACAAGGTTACCGCCTAGGGTCTGGAAAGCTTCTTGTTGAAGGACTGCAAACTCCCTTCAGCACATATATATTTTAATTCCTCTTGTGTTTTTGGGCACACAAGGATGACATGATGGATGTGTTCCCTGGCTTTGTGGAACTTAAAGGCAGTGTACCCATGGCCTTCTTGATCAACAGAAGATGAGGGGAATAAGAACATTTGATAATTAGAAGACAGGTGACCTTACAGACTCAGTGGGATGCACCAGAGGATCCCTAGTCCAGTGGATTCCCGTCACAGAGCCCCACGCCTCGGCATCACCGGCTAGAAGACTTCATCTTTTCAGAATGCTTCAAATTGAGCCTCCTGAATGCTTCCATGCATACAGCCTCACTTAAAAACTCTCAGAGTGACCTGTGCTATTTATATAGTTATCCCATGCCATATATAAAGAAATAGAGGCACAGAGGATTTGAGGACTACACAAAGTCTTCTCAGTCCACGACCAATGCCTTTGTTCTCCACTGTGGTCATTTGGCCACACTGTGATATTTTACTAAGAAGAGTCACCAGTTAGGCCCATACTGTATTTATGTATGTTTACCCATAGACATACACATGTGAGCATAAGACTAAATGTCATAATGAATAGAAGCAATCTTTTGGGAAAGTTCCCTTTAATTATGAATGCAAATATATTCATTCTCTAATTTATTTGTTGAATAGGTGTTAAAATTCCATGCTTTTTAAACAAACATAAAGAAAACTCATTGTAAAAAGCTTCACTCCACTCTGCATACCCAGTTCCCCATCCCCCTGCCTAAATGATAGATACAGGAGAAACCAAATATTGCTTTAAAATTTGGTGGTTTGGGGTGTTTTTTTTTTCTTTTCTGAACAACTTGTATAGTTGTTATCTGCCATCAAGTAAGCTGCAACTCATAGCAACCCTATGAACAGAAGATCTGAACCCTGTTCTGTCCTGTGCTATCCTCATACTTTCTGACACATGAGTCCATTGCAGCAGTCACTGTGATAATCCACCTGGTTGAGGGTCTTCCTCTCCTTCGTTGACTCTGCACCCTTTCCAGCATCATGACCTTCTACAAGGAATAGCTTCTAGCAGCATGTCCAAAGTATGTGAGGCAAAGCCTCATCATTCTTGCCTCCAAAGATCACTCCAGCTGCACCCCTTCCAAGATATCACTGTTCTCTTGGACGTTCATTGCTCTTCTCCAACACCACAGCTCAAAGGCGTCAATTCTTCATCTGTCATCCTTATTCATTCTCCAGCTCTCAGGTGCATAGCAAGTGATTGGAAAGACTATGGCCTGAATCAGACATGCATTAGTCCTCAAATTGACATCATGAGAAACCTATACTAGGACCAAGAGGCAGTCGTCAGAACAGAGCAAGGAAACACTGCATGGTTTAAAATTGGGAAGGGCGTACGCCAGGGATGTGTCCTGTCTCCATACCTTTTCAACCTGTATGCAGAGCAGATTATCCGGGAGGCTGGGCTCTATGAGGAGAAATGCGGCATTAGGATTGATGGAAGACCTATTAACAATCTGCGTTATGCAGATGTCACAACCCTGCTTGCTGAAACTGAGGAGGACCTAAAGTGCTTGCTGCAGAGGGTCAAGGACTGCATGCAGCCTACAATATGGATTGAGGCTCAATGTCAAGAAGACAAAGATTCTTACCACTGGGCCAATTGGCAGCATCAGGATGGATGGTGAAGAGATTGAGATTGTTCACAGCTTTAGTTTGCTTGGCTCCACAGTCAACACTCTTGGCACCAGTATCCAGGAAAGTAGAAGACGTATTGCCATGGGCAAGTCTGCTGTTAGGGACCTCTCCAAAGTACTGAAAAGCAATGGTGTCTCTTTGGAGACTAAGGTGTGTCTGATACAAGTCATGGTCTTTGTTATCACTTGTTATGCATCAGAGAGTTGGACAATGACCAAGGAGGATGGAAGGAGAATTGATGCCTTTGAGCTGTGGTGCTGGAGAAGAGTATTGAGGGTACCATGGACTGCTAGGAAAGAAAACAGATTCATCCTGGGAAGGGTCAAACTGGGCTGCTCCTTGGAGGCAAGGATTCTGAGGCTCCATCTAACATACTTTGGACATGTTGCAAGGAGAGAGAGGTCCTTGGAGAGGGACATCATGCTTGGGAGGGTGGAGGGACAGCATAGAAGGGGAAGGCCCTCATGAGGTGGATTGATTCAGTGACTGGGGTAATTGAGATTGGTGTATTGGAGATGGTGCGATTGGCACAGGACAGATCAGGGTTTAGGGATGTTGTACATAGGGTCACTATGAGTCGCAAGCAACCCGATGGCACATAACAACAACAACAACAACAACAACAACAACAACAACAACAACAACAACTCCTTAATAATTTGGAGAAGTTGGTGGCATGGGTTTATTCTCATCCAGAAGTCTGACCCTGTTCAGAGCTCATGGGTCCATGTAAACCATTATTCATCTCACAGTGCTTACTCTTCTCTTGTAAGAACCATGTATCTATATCTTGAACCATCATAAAGTAGAAAATACTTTGAGAATTTGAGAAAAGAGGTGATGGAGATAAAAAAGATGTTTCTTTTTTTTACTTTCTATAAAAATTATTTTTAAATTAAAGATAAATGACTTACTAACTGGCATTTATTTAGTTAATATTTGCTGACACAAAAATTCCTTCTCTTTTAAGATATCGAAGTAAACTGAAGCTGATCCGCGCGAAGGAAGAAGACAGTGGCCACTACACAGTTGTAGTTCAAAATGGCGATGAAGTCAAGAGATACACTTTCGAACTATTAACACAAGGTAATGCCTAAGTGAATCAACACCTTACTATTAGTTTAAAGTGGGAAGTCTAACACTTTAGAGGGTAAGTTGGGGCTTGGGAAATTCTGGAAGGTTCTGGACTAACCTGGAGCAGTCTGTCTGGTATTTCCTTGGCACCCATCTCTCAGTAAGACAGACACTTTCAATTCTGGAAAGAGTGACCTTTGGCTCCGAATGACCTTTAGTTAGTCCAGACAGTTTGGCCTTTTGTTTAGTTTGCCTTGTTGACCTTGTACCATGGTCCCTGCCTTAATGGTCTCTACAAGTCTCTTTTCATTCAGGTTCCGTGTCTATTCACTGAAATTAGTGCTGTCTTCCATGGGTTCATGCCTAACATAACACCTTGTGATTTGACGTTCACATATCCATGACTTCTTTGATCACAGATTTTTTGTTGTTGTTGTTTTTAAATCTTTAACATTTAATAACATTACACAAATACACTTTGGCAGAAGGCAGTTTCATACTATAGCTAAATCCATTACTTGAACCCCACACTGTAATTATAAAGGCTTCCTTCCCTTTAAGCCAAAAAACCCTCTGGTTCTTCTCACCTTCTTCCACTCCAGATTTAAAATGCCACGGGGCACAAATCTGCAAACACTGAAATGGGGAAAATGCTCTGCACTGAGTGGTTCTTTCCAAACTGGAGTGTTACTTATTCCAAACGTAACTGGTTTTCTCCCTTTCTTGGGTGGTTATTTGATGTGTAGGCTCCAATGCCATGTGGGTAAAGGCTGAACTCAGACCTCTAACTTGTAGTTCCCAGAGTAGTGGACCTGAACCGTTCTGTTCTGACTTCTCTCAATCTCTTGCAGTTCCCTCCTCCATTGTGGACTTGTTTGATGACCATCACGGCTCGTCCGGGGGACAGACTGTCATGTGCATGGCGGGAGGAACCCCGCTCCCTGACATTGAGTGGATGATTTGCAAGGATATTAAAAAGTATGGAAACCAGATGTTATTTTCTTTTCTTTTGTGGTCAGAATGTTTCTCTTTTGACAGAAAGGACGTCAAGGGTGTTTTGTTTTGTTTTTTCTTTTCTTTTGTTGCCTGTCTCTCTCCCCCTGTACTCCACCCCGCCTCTATAACAGCTTTGTTGAGATGGAATTTATATGCCATCAAATTCATCCTTTTAAGTTGTGTCTTTCAAGTGGTTTGGAGTATATTACATAGATATGGTTATGCAACCATCACCACAACCAGTTTTATAACATTTTCGTAGAAACCCCATACCCTCTCGTACCTCACATCTCTCCTCTCATAGCTTTAGACAAACATTTCTATCTTTATATATTAGCCTGTCATGAACATCTGATAGAAATGGAACCACTTAGTATATGGTATTTTGTGACTGGCTTCTTTCACTTACCATAATGCTTTTAAAATTCTAGCACTTCATTTCATTCAATGACTGAAAAATATTCCAGTGTATGGATAGTATTCATTTTGTGTGTGTATGGTTACATATCTGGATTATTTCCACCTTTGGGCTGTCATGAATAATGATGTTATGAACATTCATATACAAGCTTTTGCATAAACATGTTTTCATTTCTCTTGGCTGTAGACTTGGGAGTGGAATTGCTGGGTTATGTGGTAACTCTGTTTAACTTTTTCTTCTTTAAATTTTTCAAATAGTGTTTTAGTTGATAGTTAACAGATCAAGTTAATTTTCTGATAATTTGTGCATAGATTGTTCCATGGCACTGGTTATGGTTTTCACCATGTCATGGCATTCTCCCCATCTTTATACCAAGTTCCAGAATACTTCATTCTGTCTGAATTTTATATTCCTTCTCATTTTTTTGTCTTGTGGACAAATGTTCTTTTGATCTCTAAGGAATTTATTGTTTAAAGGGACACATTCTTCTAGGGTGTTATTGCTTACTTTATAGGTTTATCTGTTATTTGTCTAATAGGTTGTTGTTGTTATATGCTATCAGGTTGCCTGCAACTCAGAGTGACCCTATGTGCAACAGCTCTGAACCCTGCCCTATCATGAATCAGTCTCACTGACTCCGACACACCTAACCTCATTACCCCAGTTACTGTGTCATTCCATCTTACCTGAGGTCTTCCTTTCCTGCACTGTTCCTCCACCCTTCTTAGATGTCCTTCTCCAATGACTGGTCCCTCCTGGCCATGTGCCCAAAGTATGTGAAATGGAGCTTCAAAATCCTAGCCTACAAGGAGAAACTTTATTTCACCCTCTCTAAGACAGAGTGTGTTTGTTCTCTTGGCTGTCCTTGATATGTTCAAGATTCTTCTCCAGCTCAACAACTCAAAGGTATTGATTTTTCTTCTGTCATCCTTAGTTACTGTCCAGCTCTCTGGTGCATAATAAGTGAATTGCATAATAAGTGAATTGCAAAGACCATGGCCTAGATCCAGTGCACCTTAGTCTCTAGACTGACATTGTTACTTCTTGGTACTTTGAAGATCTGAAAATGGCTTCTGTTCTAGATCAGAAGGGTGTGTTATGACTGTAGTAGTGTCAGAAGTTTCCTCCATGCTCTGTCAGACAAGTAAATCTGGTCTTTTGTTGTGAATTTGACTTTTTCTATCCTTTTCTCCCACTTTGTTCAGCAGTCTCTGTTGTAATCTCAGAGTAGACAGCAGTGGTAGCCGGGCACCATCTAGTTCTTCTGGTCTCAGAGTTGTGTAGGCTGTGGTGTGTAGTTCTCAGCTAGTTGAGCCATTAGTTTGGTTTTCCTGAGCAATTAGTTTGGCTTCCAAAACAACATCTTTAACATTAAATTTAATGTTATCAGACTTTAATTATTTCAGGAAAGTTTTAGGTTTACAAAACTATTGAGCAGAAAATACAGAAAGCGCCCATACATATTTACCATCCCCCCTTCATTGACCCTTCTGCTGTTTGTGATTCTTATTTAGCCTCAGGCTCATAAGCTCTAAGAAGAGGTTTTGAACATTTGAATATCCTGGGTGAGAAGAGGGTGCCAGGCCTTTGAGAGAGACAGAAAGTATGTGCCTCTGTGTGTGTCTGTGCATATGAATGAACAGTGTAGAGAGGACTATGTCTTTCATTGGATTTGCAAAGGATTTCTACCTAATAGGAAAAAATGATGAAGTTCCAAGAGATTTTTTACTACTCCACACCTAAATTTAAACTCAAACTTCTTATGTAGGAAACTTCTATGCTCACATTCATGCATGTAACTAGAAGGGCTTGTGAACATACATAAGAGCCCCAGTGACTCCTAAGTGTAGAAGTTATCATCCTTTCCCCTCTTTCTCTTAACCTTCTCAAATGGACAAATGAACTGTGCATTCAGACTTCCACCCATGGCATCTGACTGGCTCCACAGCCTTGATTCATTCTTCTAAAGGTTGAGCTTCTTAATCATAACCTCTCCGACAGCCTGAGGAGCTAGGACTTGGATAGTGGACAGCTGAACTGCAGGTCTTATGACTCAGAAAGGAGACTGTTCCTGCCCCAGAACACCTGGGGTGCTCTACATAGTGTGAGTGATAAGGAGGAGTGTCCTGGATGAGAAGAAGGTGCCAGGCCTTTCGGAAGGGGGGCTAATGGGGAGAGGGTAGTTAAATCTCCTTAAAGTCAAAATCATCAGTTTGGCAATAGGTTAAAAGCCATTAGATTTGTAGTGATATTTTATTGACCTTGCTCTGTGTCTTCTTGGTAAACAGTTAACGTGGTGTTTTGTTTTGTTTTTTTTTAACTTTATTATTTTCGGTATGTGTACCATCAAATCAGATCTGACTGGTACCGGAGGAGATTTCCCCTCCTCCTTCAGCAGAGCATCTAGTGGAGTTGAACCGCGTACCTATGGGATTGCAGTGTATCTTCTTGCCACTAGGCCACCAGAGCTCCCAACAGTTTACTTTTAATTATCTACATATTCTTTGTGCTCTCTGCGTGCATACTGAGAAAATGCACAGAATTTTTTTCTTTTTTTCTAGGTTTAGCTTTAAATATCTTAAACATTGGAATATCTATCTATTATCAATCAAGCGGAAGTGGCATCCACTTCCTAAACAGCATACCTTTGCACACTCTATAAACTTTGAGAAATAGTTATAGAAAGGCTTCAGGTCTTTTGTTCATACAGTCACTATGAGTCGTGTTCAACTCGATGGCAATCAGCAACAATTATATATATATATCACAAAACTTGTCCTTTTAAGGATTTTTCTTTGGCATAAATTACTTTCACAATGTTCAGCTGTTACTGTATATTTGCAAAACTTTTCATCAACCTCTAGAGAATCACAGTATCCATTAATCGATAATTTCCATGAATTTGACTGTCAGTCTGTACACAAAATCAGAAACTCAACTCACAGCACACCCAGATGCAGACACAGGCAGAATTGCTTCCTGTTTAAAAAGTTCTCATAGCTGCCTTCTCTCACCTCCACTGCCATCAGTAACTGTCTGACTGTGTGCCCTTTCCCCCTCCAGATGTAATAATGAAACTTCATGGACAGTTTTGGCCAACAATGTCTCAGACATCATCACCGAGATCCACATGCGAGGCAGGAGTACTGTAGAGGGCCGACTGACCTTCACCAAAGTGGAGGAGACCATTGCGGTTCGATGCCAGGCTAAGAATCCCCTTGGGATTGAGAACCGGGAATTGAAGCTGGTGGCTCCTAGTAAGTTGTTCTGATGAATGCTCAGCTCGGTTCTGTCTACACCATTGGCTGACCCTGTCACTCACGGGGGGGGGGGGAGCTTTGAATCCAGATGTGTGGGGTCATTCAACAGCAAAATAATTCATTTCCATCAAAGTAAGAACTGACTCACAGCTGACTCTCCAGAGGATTTTCAGAGGCTGTAAATCACATGGTTATTACTCATCTTTCTTCTTTGAAGAAGTGGTGGATTCAAACCACATAACTCTGGGTTGGCAATGCAGCACTTTACCTACTAGGTCACCAGACCTCACTGTTACAAAGACTGAGATCTCAAACCGCATCTTGCCGAGGCCCCTTGACATCTTACTTGTCTGATAGTAGAGCTACCTGGTTTCTTTATCTTAGCCTCAGAGTGTAGGGAAGGAAGCTCCCCTAATCCTGTCACTCCTGATAACAAGTAAGGCAAGTTGAAGCCTTCAGGAGGAAAAAAGGAAAGCTAAAAGGAATATAAACAAAATTCAACATCTCAAAGTAATAAAATATGTAAAGTAGAGGTTACTGGGCTCCTTGCAACTTAGAATGCATTGACTTTGACTCATAGGCACCTCAGGTGTCAGAGTAGAGCTGTGCTCTCTAGAGCGTTTTCAGTGACTGATTTTTTTTTCCTAAATAGATCACCAGGCCTTCCTTTCATGGTTCCTCTGGGTGGACTGGATCCTCCAGGCTTTCATTTAGCTGCTGAGCATATTAACCATTTGCACTACTGCCATTGAGTCAGGTCTGACTCACCACAGCCCTCCTTCAGGTTCTTGAGGCTGTAAATCTTTCCGGGAGGAGACTTCCCATCTTTTTATTATTATTATTATT